TTCCTTCCTCCCCTCTTCCCCCCCCCCACCCCCCTGCAGAGGCAGTGAGGGGGCACAGGCAGGAGCCAGCACTAGGAGGAGGTGGCTTAAAAGCTGGTTTCCTGCAGCACCTAGCTCTGTGGTGCTGCCTGCTCCCCCACCACCCTCCGCTGCTGCTTCTATCAGACAGTAGTTCCTGTCCATGGGGGATCTGAGCTGGACCAACCTCTGTCCTTGGTGGGCCCAAGCTCACCGCAGATGGAGGCTGCTTCGTGGGAGCGCCCTCCCATAGCAGCCTCTGTCCATTGCTGCCCCTGTTAAATTTAGATTAATCAACTAAGAGCGCCTCTGCCTTTGAAATGTAGCAAGAGCCCCAAAGATTTTGAATAGTTTGGAAAAATCTCTATTAAGGCTTTAAAAATGATTTCAAACAAAGCAAATTTAGAGTGTGAAGAGAGTACTGAACATTTAACATCACTTCTAGTGTTAAATATTTTAGTGATTAACTTCTCAAATGTAAGTTTGAAAACCAAACCACTTGCTGATTTTGTGAGTCCCATTGTAAAAAATGTGATGTTAGATATAACTAGTGTATAGTCCAGTGGCATTTAATGCTTGAAAGTTAGTATAGTGCCTCATCTGTTTTGAAATGCTAATTCTTTCAGTTACTGAAGTTCGAAAACTTTTTATTCAGTAAATAGTATGCCTTTTGTATTTTTCCAACTTTATATAACTATCAATCAGTCTCTAACATTAACTCCAGGGTTTGTTTTTACATTTAAAATTATTCAGCTCCTCATGATAAACATTAGGATTAAATAATCAGCCTTGATGCAGAAAGCAGTTTTTTCTGTAGCTTCAGGAGTTATACTATTCCACAAGTTTATATGATTAGTGTTGTTTTAATTGAATTCTGTTTTACTAATCACTTAAAAGGTATGGACATTTATTTTACATTATAATAACTTTTTCTTTTTAAATAACTTTTCCATTTAGAAACCGGATGCCTTGACCACTGGAGCTGGGATCTCAGTAGGTGATAAACTTAACATCATGACAGTTGGGCCAAGGGGCCCTCTTCTTGTTCAGGATGTTGTTTTCACTGATGAGATGGCTCATTTTGACAGAGAGAGGATTCCTGAGAGAGTTGTGCATGCCAAAGGAGCAGGTGGGTTTAAAAGACTCGTGTTCCTTAGCTGCATAAAAGTCTGCTAGAGAATGCCAGTGAGATTAATATTGCAAATCAGGATTGTGCAATGAGGCAGAAAAAATGTATTCTGAAGTGTATCTATGATATTAATATTAGTCCAAATCCTATGATCAGGAGTGTGTGCAAAAATTCCATCCAGAGGGGGAGAAAAAAAATATACACTTTTTGCATTTGACCTAGATAAATAACTGGGGAGGCAAAGTAGTTTGACTCCAAAGAAAAGTCCTACAGGAGCCTGCCAAATGCTTCTGTGCTGTATTTTTCTCTTTTTAGAAGACTTAAGAATCTGGTGCTGATTTGGTATCTATCTAACTTTAAATAATTAAATAAAGAAGAATAGAGGCATCTGTTTCACAGTTACTCAAAATTGTCTGTTCTGGAGTAAAGTCTTAATTATTAGATGTAATGTTTACTTAGGGAATGGGAATGATTAGATGTTACACATCTGCAATTTACTAAGCAGATACATGCCAATTCAGTTGCCCTTTAAACTAAAACATATACAAAAAATCTGTAACTTTATATCAGAAACAACTTTTACTAGCAACAGTGAAAATAAACGTATTCGCTTCTATACTTTGTATTAAATGAACAATTTCTCTGTCATCTATTCTTTAAGACTTTTATATTTAAATTGAATAATCAAATTGTCTCATAAAAGAAGAGAGACTAGCAAAAACTGTAGTTAGATTCTTCCATTTGTTATTTTTGAACATGGTTTCATGGTCAAAATAGCATTGATTATTTATTTCTAGTGTTAGTTTGAGAATTTGGAATCTGTTTGCAGATTACATGCTATTTTTGTTATCTTATATGGGTTTATGGCATTATTACAAAAGGTTACTGCATTTTTAAGGTATATCAAAATAAGAAAGCATCTAGTTTTAATGAACTACATAGAAAGTTTCATTAAATAGAACTTTCAGTTCCTGCAAGTGAAAACAAATAAAGGAGTACTCACATATGTCTAGGATCTCTTTTCCCTAACAACACCTTCCCAGGAGTGATGCTTAGGTCTCAAACTCAGGTGTAATACTCCCAAATTAATTTTATAAGAGTTAACCCTTATTAAGGATTTTTCTAATTGTAAACCAGAAATGATGTTCTTCTCTCCCCACATCCTTTCCCTATGAAATACAAATATTTCCTTCAAATCAAAATATAAGAGTTTAACAACACTATATCATACAGAATATTACCAAAGGCAATAAACATACTGGCTTAGATCTTCAGGTATTTATGCACCAAATTTGTTTTGCTTTTAGTACCTTTTGAGGTTCTGGGTAGGGATGTGAAAAGCGAACTGTTTAGGGCGAGGTCTGCTGCGGACACGGGCTTCTCCGATCTTCTGGAGCAGCTCCTGCCCATAGTAGGAATGTTAAAATGCATTTATTTTTGTAAATGTGTAACGGCTACTTTGGCTGGGCTGTGGCAGAGCATCCCTGGCATGCCCAGGCCCACTGTGAACAGGCTGTAGGCAGGGGCTGTTCCAGCTGGACTGGAGCAGCTCCTGCCTGAGGCACACCTGGGACTGTTGCAAGTAGGAATTGCTCTAGTTGTCCTTTTACAAATTTATTTACAAAAATAAACACATTTTAACATCCCTATTGTGGATAGGGGCTGCTTGGGTTATTTGGAGCAGCTCCTGTCCGCTGCAGGCCCTGTGGGGCTGGAGCAGCTTCCGCCTGTGGCATGCATAGACCTGCTGCAGACTAGGGTTGTGAATGTGTACCCATGTACACTGCTAACTGATGAGCCTGCTAGCCCCTTTCCCTCTAACCCCTGGCCTCGCGGGGGCTGTTGCTGTTGACGGGGCTAGAATAGCACTCTTCCCGCTGTGGGCGGTGGCTGCTTCCAGGTACTGGTTAATTGGTGTTCAGTAAGGATGATGCTTACCAGGTAACCAGTTACATGTTCCCTTCCCTACTCTGTTGTGGTTCTGTGGTGGATGGCCCACAGAAACCTGTACTGGTCACAGCATTGTGCCGTGTACTTGTACGTGTACTGGACATTGATATTCTTTACTGAAATGCTGTGTGTTAAAGTTAGTAAAATTTGGGCTGCTCCACATTTATTTTGCTTCATAGGATTAAGAACCTCAGTTTCCTGCATAAGAGAACACTGAACAATCTAATTAGAAGGTGTAGTGTCAAAGCCCAGCGCACATAGAGCAAGCAGCATATTAATTTCATATGATTGAGCAAGGAAAAGCTACAAAAGAAGTAAGTGTGTCTTAAGGCAGAAAGGGGTAGAGTAAAGAAGTCAACAGAGTGGTGGCTTGAAGTGGAGGGGAATGTTATGATGAATTTTCTTCAATTTCCAGAATTATTTTTCCACAGTTGCCCTTTTCCATATTTTGGTTGTGCCTCCTGATGTTAGCCAAAGTCATCTGATTTGTGCTATTCACACTTGTTCATCCAGTCATAGTAGTTTTGTTTTTTCAGGAGCTTTTGGCTATTTTGAAGTGACTCATGATATCACCAAATATTGTAAGGCGAAGGTATTTGAGCACATTGGAAAAAGAACGCCAATAGCTATTCGATTCTCCACTGTTGGTAAGATGATGTATTTAATGTATGTGGCCTTTTATATAATACATTGAGAAACTGTGTAAAATTCCATGTAGTTTTGACCATTTTTCACTGCCCTCTCAGCTAATTCCTTTCCCCTAGATTTGTTCTAAAATCTTGAGTAGTGTTAAGTGGCTGCCATTTCATGTAACATCAGCCTACAGTAGTCATTTTTCTTTCCTAGTAGGAGAGGAAGTATGCATCTTTGCGGAAGACTTAGGTTCTCTTCCTTGCTCTGTTGTAGGCTTTATCATTCTAGGCAGGCCATGATTAACACTTCTCTGCCTTGGTCTTTCATTAGAATTACTATCCTTATTTTTCATTTTTACCTGGCAGCAGTGTTGTGAGACAGGTAAGTTACAGCTTTTTACAAATGAGTTTGCAGGCCAATACCTTGCACATTATATGACTGAAAATGTGATTTTTTGAAACACACAAACAAACAAACATGTAACTAAAAAGTGGGAGGTTCTAAAGTTACCATAGCAATTCATAGTTTTTTGTACTTTTATAGTTATTTACAACTTTTTGTACCTTTTACAATATTTGTAAAATCTTGAAGATGGTTAAATTGAGGATTCTTGAATCTTCTGGAACTATGTAAAGAGTCTAGAGATCTTAATAACCCAGGGGATTTGCTTGTGTGGTTCAAAGCTCTAGCAGCTGAGCAATGCTTATGTGTTCTGAGGATTTGGACAGGCAGCTGGAGTTACTGACAGAACAGTGTATGCACTAAAGTGCTTTTTCAGTTCTGCTTTGTGCATTTTCTCCTCTCTGTATAGCAGAGATGGGGAACTTTTTTTGGACAGGAGGCCATTCACCTACAGAAACATTAGTTGGGGCTGCACACAAGTGAGAAGCAAAAAAGAAAACCAAACCCTCACTGATGTGGCCCCCGATTGAGAAGGAGACAGATGCTTTCCACATTTCTTCACATACATAAGAACGGCCATACTGGGTAAAACCATGGTCCAGCTAGTCCGTATCCTGTCTGCCAACAGTGGCCAATGCCAGAAGCCCCAGAGGGAGGGAACACAATAGGTAATCCTCACATGATCCCTCCCTGTCACTCATGATCCCTCCCTGTCACTCATTTCCAGTAAAAAATGAGTGCACTTTGCACCATTTGTTTCCCACCCCTGTAGTATAGTGGTCAAAAAGCTTGTGTATGCTTTGATGCTCAGGATGTGTTACAAGCATTCCCGGTGCTTGAAATAGTGGGGAAAATATATAAAATTATCCAGATGAACAAAGCTTAAAAAGAAGCAATAAATAATTGTGGGCCTACCTCTTCGTGTCCTCTCATGTTAAATATATGGCTGTGTGACTTTTCTTTTTCCCATCTTGACACTTGTTTTGTGTATATCTACATGTTTCTTCTAGCTGGGGAGTCTGGTTCAGCTGACACAGTTCGTGACCCTCGAGGCTTTGCCATGAAATTCTACACAGAAGAAGGTATCTGGGATCTTGTTGGCAACAACACTCCCATCTTCTTTATCCGGGATGCCATGCTGGTGAGTGAGACTATGGGTGTGAGTAGATTCATCACATGAGGTAAAGAAGTCCAAGGATTTGTACAAGTTGTAAAAAAGGGTATAGAGATGCATAAAATACAGATTAGCAATGAAAGCTTATTTTACCTTGATAGTTTAATGTATGTTTGAAATTTTTGACTGACACTGAAGCTACTTTAAGGAAAAAATTATGGCTTATTTGCATTTAAATAAACTGGCTAGTAGAAAGATTAAGTTATTAATATGTTTGTATTTTTACCTCCTGTGTGATCAATATCACGTTTGAGTTTAAATGGCTAAGATTTTCAAGCTGTCACTTTGAATTTGGATTATTTTAAAATTTTTCACTTTTTAAACATTCCTCTAACCTGTTTAAATGTTGAAACAGGAATTTAAACTTTGTTACTCATCCATTTTTTTAATTGTATTTGATAAGGAAATAATCTTAAGTGTGGAAAGTAGTTTTCCCACTTTTAATGTCTATGTATCTTATTCAAAATAGGTCTACATTTTATAAGAGAGGGGGCAGGATTATCTTTCTCAAATTCAGTTAAAACAGTGGAGATAGTTGACTGATATATCACTATAATTTATTCAATTGGGGCCAAATTTGTCAGTCTTTAATTTTGCAAAAGTCCCACTGAGGTCAGTGAAAATCTTAGTGGGACACACTGTAATAGGCATTCTCAGACTTGGAGTCAAAGCCTGAGTCCCATTGCCTGTGGCTGAAGCTCAAGGCTTGTATATACTCTCTCTCCTCATGTGCTCATATGAAGATAAACTCTTTAATATTCTGAAAAATCTTTGTATTGGATGATCTTCTGTTATGACTTGTTTGGTCAGACATTCCTCTCTAAGTGCTCCCACCCAGTACAGTGTTTCTGTAGTGGTAGACTTAAAACCTCCAGACTTCAAATCTTTTACTCTGATGGGCTAATTCCCTTTAAGGACAGACACAGTAGATGCCTCTTCCATGTTGGAGACTCTCATATTCTGAGTTGATACTTGATATAATTATCCTTCTCAAGGACTTTTTCAATTGTAAAGCTGTATCATCACCTCCTAGAGAAGTCTATGAAGATCTTGTCAGATCCAGAAGAAAGCAGTTCCAAAATTTCATTAATGAACATGCATCATATGGCACCCACTGAACAGACAAGTAACTCTTGAAACCACCAAAGAATCAGCACTAAAGAAAGATCTGGTGACAGCATTGACACCAGGACTAAAGCAGACACTGACACTTCCAGAGCAGTTTCGTTCTCTAGACTACTCCAGGAAGCCTTGCATGACAGGGTTTCCAGACTCCTTGCCATGGAGCTGTGATATTAAAAAACTTGAAAGCCCTGGTTCTAACTGGGGCTTGACACCTGGTTCCTTAGCAGGGAGCCTGGAAATCTTGAGAACCCCAACTTGAGCTGTCTGGCTCTCTGCTGCAGATTTGAGAGCCTGGTAGTCTTGGGAAGAGCTCCCAGGGTTTGCAGCTGTGGAGCAGCCCAATATTCCAGACTCAGGACGCTAGAGCAGCAGTGGGCAACCAAGAATCCTGAGTGGCCCTCCACCTCAGTGGGCTGCAGCAGCACATGGGTTCCACCCGCGGACCCCCATCTGCCTCCTGCCCCATAGCCCCTGCACTTATCTATTTCTCCCCCTCCCTCCCAGCACTTTTGGAGCACGGTGAATCTGTTGATTTATGCTCTGTTCCTGCTCTCCCCTTTCCCTCCTTCCACCCCCCAGACGTTCAAGCTCAGGGAGGGGGAAGAGCAGGGATGGAGTATCAGTTAGCAGATTCATGGTGCTCTGAAGGTGCTGGGAGGGAAGGGGGAAGTGCAGGGCTCTGGTGTCCTAGTGCTCAAGAGACATATGGGAGAAGGGGGCAGCCAGAGAAGAGGGTCTGCAGATCACAGATGGAGCCTCCTTGAGCTGCATGTGAACTGTGGGCAGTATATTGCCCACCACTGCCCTAGAGCTTCCAGGCTTATCATTCTGCTGATTCTTGTTGTTAATATAAATATTTTACCAGTTCAAGATTGAGGGTGAAATTAACACAATAGTTGGTAGTATCATGACAAAGCTTGAAAACCTCAATGCTGTTTTTCTTTTACAGCTTCTCCCACCAATAACTGTGACTTGTCACTGATAATACTGTCTTGAAGTGCTGATGATTTCATTCTTGCCCCATAGTAGCTTAACATGTACTTTGTCAAGAGCCGTATATTGCGGCTGAAATAAGTTCTATGTATCAAAATACTACAGGCGACCTCACTTACGATCTAATTGGTTCCTGGAGAACTGTCGTAGGTTGAACCCTTATTTTCCATAGGCACAATGTTATAAATGGCAGTTCCATTCCTGGAAACCCATTTCATACCCTAAAAATACAAACATTGACTACAGAAATGGAAGAAAACTAAATAAAACACAAATGTATGCCTTTACAAATATTTGTTAACTTAAAACAAATATTCAGTATGAAAATAAAGCACAGAAACTATATTTGAAAATTTCCAAAGTAAGGGCTTTCCTGGCTTCTTGGTTGATTTTTTTCTACTCTGTACATCACTTTTCCTTTTCTCAGACATGGTGAACAGCAAAAGTAGTTCAAATAATGTACAAAAATAACTAAAAAGTGAAGACCAATGTGGCGGAGACACACGCAGTTCAAGCAGGAGCTGCAGACCAGCGAGTCTGACTGATCTTGTGTGTTTCCTGTTTTGGGATGATGCCTGGAGTCTGCGTCATACGCCTTCGTAAATGCGAGCTTCAGACGTAAATTGGGTTTTATTTTAGACGCTATCTCACATGGACAAAAAAAAAGGTTGTAAATGTGGGGGTTGTAAGTCGGGGGTCACCTGTATGTGATCCGTTTTCTTGGAATGCTAGTAGTATGTAAATCAGGGATGGGAAACCTTTATTTTGGGGCAGGGGCCCATTGACCCACAGAAAAAGCAATTGGGGGCCATGCACAAATGAAAAGCAACCTCGCTTTTATTCCCCCGAAACCCTCAGTGAGGTGCCCTCAACTGAGAGAGAGGAATACATTCTCCATATTTCCCTTGGGAAGTAATTTTCCCAGGCTAGTAAATTTTGTGTGATCCAGTCCTGTTGGGGGACAGTGGAGGGACTGGAACACAGCATGGTCTCCCCTATGCTGGCAGGTAACCCTGAGCCTCGGGGGCTGCATCCAGGCAAGCTGCATCCAGGCCTTATGTTCCCCACCCCTGATGTAAAGGGACCCTCAACATAATTATAAAGAATTTAGTTCTAGTAAATTCATCTTAATGTTGTTTGTTTGAAATTAGTTTCCATCCTTTATACATACCCAAAAGAGGAACCCTCAGACTCACCTGAAGGATCCAGACATGATGTGGGACTTCTGGAGCCTTCGCCCTGAATCTCTGCACCAGGTGGGAGCTTATTGCCTTTGAATTCAACTTATGTTGAATTCCCTATTCATGAAAGAATATTTAAATCATGTTTTTGTTTTGTTTTTAAATATTTTATTCTCTTGGGGTGTGTCTACACTGCACCCTTAGCTTGAAATAAGCTATGCAGTTTGAGCTACGCGAATTGCATAGCTTATTTCGAGTGTATTTTGAAATAGTTTATTTCATAATTTGGTGGTGTCTACACCGCGCCAAATTTTGAAATAAACCGCTATCCTGAAATGTCCCTTAATCTTTGTGGAATGAGGTTTACATGGACATTGGAATAGTGCGCACACCCGTTATTTTGAAAGGTATTTCGAATTAACAGGCATGCTGTCAAGATGCAGAATAGCTATTTTGGGATACCAGAAGTATCCTGAAACAGTGCCATAGTGTAGACGTACCTTCAGGCAGTCTGGGAATTTCCATTATCTTTTTGGACCAATAAGGCTATATACTAATCTTAAATTGTTAGCAATTATTTGAAATTCAGTAAAACTCGAATTATATACTTTTAGCCATCTATTAAATGATAACTACTAGGTTTGTGTCCTCTTACATTTTTCTGTAAAGTTAGCTAATGATTAAAGTGATTATCCAAAAAAAGTGTCCTTTTTTTCTTATAGCTTTTTTTTTCTTGAACTAAGTTGTTAATGAATTAAAACACTTTACTTTTAATATATTGATAATTTAAGCAGTTAAACTATTCGGAATCTTTAGCCAACTATAAAAATTAATATTAAAAAATTTCTGGGAAGAGAATGCTGATATGGCTTAATGTAGTTTTAAAAGTCCCATTGTCCTCCCCCCGCCCCCCCCCCGCCTAAATGTTTAGGGGTTGATGTCAGCACACATCACATATTTTAATTCTTCTGGGAGGATGGTCAGAAAACAGTATATCAATGTTATGTAATGTGTGGTATACATTTGTAATACTAGTGGAAAAGCAAATATTTTTAAAATGTTGAAAAGCTCAGTAATTTTAAGAAAAAGTGCTTGAAATAAAGGATTTTGTACAATCCTAAACTGAAGAACAAACAGCGTTTTCTGTGGCCATTGAATGCTATGTTCGGCAGTATTTCCGCATCAAAGGGTTTTGCTAAAACTGGTTTGTCCATGATTTTAAAAAATTAAAAATACGGGAAAAGTTGCCACAATTAGCTCCAAAACTACAGTAGCTAACTTATTTCCTTGAAAAAGCATTGTAACCACACGTTAAGTTGGTGTCCATTTTTCACTTCCTTGTTAAATGCTTAACCTTATTGCATATTCATTATCTTCACTGACCCACTTATTAGAGCTGCTGAAATTATGTTTCAGAAGTCTTCAAACAAGAAATTAGTCATACAGATCTTGGTACATAAACTGTCATGATGGTCTGCACCAGACCATTTCCATTTATACCATTGATTTAGATGAGTCTATGTGCTGGTTAAGGATTATAGTGAATCAGTTTACTAATTACTAGAATTGTCTATGCTTTTTATTTAGGTATCTTTCTTGTTCAGTGATCGTGGTATTCCAGATGGACACCGCCATATGAATGGATACGGATCCCATACTTTTAAACTGATTAATGCAAATGGCAAAGCTGTTTACTGCAAATTTCATGCAAAGGTATTGTTTTTAAGTTTAGCCACTTGGCAATACTTGGTGCCATATGAATCCAGAAGTATGATGCATCAGTTGTTGGTTTTACAAAGTTGTGGCTTTTTGGGTTTTTTTTGGGGGGGGGTGGGAGGATTATACAATATTGTATAATCTTTCACATCTGCTTCAGGGAAGATCTTTACAGGTATTAGAGTAATAGTCTAAGATCCGCACAAGATTTTCAATATGCTTTACTGGCTGTTATGGAGAAATCCTGAACATTTTTCTTGCTGACATTTAGTGTAGATGTAGGAATCTGTATCTATGTCCTACCTGCTTACATTTTACTTTTCTTAAAGTTTGTGTAGGTGTGATGGATATAAATATATCCCTGAATCTTTTCTTGTGTATTAATGTTGGGGACGAAGGGGTTGGTGTGTCTTTCAGAAATGTTTGACATCTTAGTCTACTTTTGTGCATGTGATATATTTGGTGCCATGGTTCATACTTTCTAAAGTATAATCCAGGTATAATCCCTGCTAGTTATGTTTAATTACAAATAGTTATGAGTGTCACTTCTTCTTCATTTGATTACTGTTAGACTGATCAGGGCATCAAAAACCTTTCTGTCGAAGAATCAGGAAGATTGGCTTCCACTGATCCTGACTATGCAATACGTGACCTTTACAACGCCATTGCCAGTGGAAATAGTCCATCCTGGACTTTTTATATCCAGGTTATGACGTTTGAAGAAGCTGAGAAATTCCCATTTAATCCTTTTGATCTAACTAAGGTAACTAAGAGGTGTATGTGTGTATACAAAAAATAGTATTGAAGTTACAAAGTCAAGCAGTCAGTTTGTTTTTACAAACTTAATTTTCCCTTCCCCCTTCTACATATGTCATGTCCTAACATCACATGAGAAATGCACGGCAGAGCCAACAATAGAACTGCCCTCTCCTGGGTTCCAGTCTTAATGCCTTAAACGCAAAAGAATATCTTCTCTCTCTTTCACTACCTTCTTCATTCAGAATTCGTTATGTGCTGTGAATGAGAATAGAATCTTAAAGTCAAACAATGTGATCATGTTTATCTCCCCTCTGAGGGGAGCGGAGAAGTGGGGCCATGCAGTTGGGTGGGTCAACAGTGGAACAGGCAAGCCCCGTCCCCAGTGGGGATCGCCAGTCAGGTGGAGGAGAAACAATGCTGTGAAGCTCCATGTGACAAAAGCGGGGCAGCTAACAAGCCCCGTCCCCTGGGAGCCCCGGCTGGCGGGGCAGCAGCAGGACAGGTGAGCCCTGTCCCAGGTGGGGGATTCCACGTCCGGTGGGGGAGAAGCTGGGGTGCGGAGTCTGAGGAGCTGTGGCAGGCTGGAGCCAAAGTCCAAGCCCTGCAGGCTGGAGCCTAGTGGTAATGGGGCTGTAGCAGAGCCAACTGCAAGGAGGGGGAGTGTACTGGGAATCCAGTGACGGGACCTCCCTATATCCAGCAAATTCCCTCATTTGGGATGGGTCAGGGAGGTCCAACCTGTAATATAACCTGTTTTCTTGCTGTGTTTTATAACCTGTAGTAATCATAGTGTATATATTGTATTTTCTAGGTTTGGCCTCATAAAGACCATCCTCTAATTCCTGTGGGCAAACTTGTCTTGAACAGGAATCCTGTCAATTATTTTGCTGAGATAGAACAAATAGCCTTTGATCCAAGCAACATGCCACCAGGTATCGAACCTAGCCCTGATAAAATGTTACAGGTAAGCAGACCAACTTGATATATTACTCTGACATAGATAACATCCTCTACACAGAATTTCTTCTTTGTAGGGCTATGTCTACATTTAAACCACTGCAATAGCACAGCACCTGGAGCACTTCAGTGTGGGTACTCATTACAGTGACCAGAGGGGTTCTCACATCACTGTAGTTAACCCACCTCATTGAAAGGTGATAGTTAGCTCAAGGGAAAAGTGCTGCTTTCATTGATTCATTGCTGTCTACACCAGGGATTGGGTTGTTTGACAGTATCGCATAGATGTGGATTTTTCAACACCTGAGCGATGTAGTTGAGTTAGCCTAACTTGTTAGTGTATATCATAGAATACTGGGACTGGAAGAGACCTCGAGAAGTCATAGTCGAGTCCCCTCCCCTCATGGCAGGACCAAATACTGTCTAGACCATCCCTGATAGACATTTATCTAACCTACTCTTAAATATCTCCAGAGATGGAGATTCCACAGCCGCCCTAGGTAATTTATTCCAGTGTTTAACCACCCTGACTGTTAGGAACTTTTTCCTGATGTCCAACCTAAACCTCCCTTGCTGCAGTTTAAGCCCATTGCTTCTTGCTCTATCCTCAGAGGCCAGGAAGAACAAGTTTTCTCCCTCCTCCTTATGACACCCTTTTAGATATCTGAAAACAGCTATCATGTCCCCTCTCAATCTTCTCTTTTCCAAACTAAACAAGCCCAATTCTTTCAGTCTTCCTTCATAGGTCATGTTCTCTAGACCTTTAATCATTCTTGTTGCTCTTCTCTGGACCTTCTCCAATTTCTCCACATCTTTCTTGAAATGTGGTGCCCAGAACTGGACACAGTACTCCAACTGAAACCTAATCAGGGCAGAGTAGAGCGGAAGAATGACTTCTTGTATCTTGCTTACAACACACCTGTTAATGCATCCTAGAATCGTGTTTGCTTTTTTTGCAACAGCATCACACTGTTGACTCTTATTTAGCTTGTGGTCCACTATTATCCCTAGATCCCTTTCTGCTGTACTCCTTCCTAGACAGTCGCTTCCCATTCTGTATGAATGAAACTGATTGTTCCTTCCAAAGTGGAGTACTTTGCATTTGTCCTTATTAAACTTCATCCTGTTTACCTCAGGCCATTTCTCCAATTTGTCCAGATCATTTTGAATTATGACCCTGTCCTCCAAAGCAGTTGCAGCCCCTCCCAGCTTGGTGGTATCTGCAAACTTAATAAATTAACAGGTGTGTTGTGAGCAAGACATGAGAAGTCATTCTTACGCTCTACTCTGCACTGGTTAGGCCTCAATTGGAGTATTGTGTCCAGTTTACTGTTACTGTTTCTCCCTCCTCACTGAGCAATGAGCCTACCCGGTCCTTGGTCTTTCTCTTGCTTCTAATATATTTATAGAATGTTGTCTTGTTTCTCTTTATGCCTGTAGCTAGTTTGAGCTCGTTTTGTGCCTTTGGCTTTCTAATTTTGCCCCTGCATTCCTGTATTGTTTGCCTATATTCATCCTTTGTAATTTGTCCTAGTTTCCATTTTTTTTTTTTTTTTTAAAAGATCATGAAAGATCTCCTGGTTGATCCTAGGCGGTCTTTTGCTATATTTTCTATCTTTCCTATGCCACAGAATAGCTTGCTTTTGGGACCTTAATGTCCCTTTGGAAAATTTGCCAAATCTCTTCAGTTGTTTTTCCCCTCAGTCTTGCTTCCCATGGGTCCTTACCTACCAGCTATCTGAGCTTACCAAAATCTGCCTTCCTGAAATCCATTGTCTCTAATTTGCCGTTCTCCCTTCTATCATACCTTAGAATCACGAACTCTATGATTTCATGATCACTTTCACCCAAGCTGCTTTCCACTCTCAAATTCTCAACCTTCTGAAATAAAAAGTTGTCTTGTTTTTTACCCCTTTTAGCCTAACCCAGAGACTCTCAACACGTCAGTCTCCTATGTCTATCTCCACCTCAGTCAAAGTGTGTATATTTTTAATATAAAAGGCAACACCTCCTCCCTTTTTTCCCTTGCCTGCTCTTCCGGAGTAAGCTGTACCCTTCTCTACCAATATTCCAATTGTGTGTATTATCCCACCAAGTCTCAGTGATGCCAACGATGTCATAGTTGTATTTATTTATTTGCACTTCCAGTTCTTCCTGCTTATTACCCATTCTTCTTGCATTTGTATATAGTCATCTAAGATACTGATTTGATCTTGCCTCCCTGTTGTGCCCTGATCCTCCTTTCTTTCTGCTATTATAGCCCACATTCCCTCCCACTTACAACCCATCTCCCAGTTCTTCACTCACCCATGGGCTTTGGTCACCCATGGGCTTCACTCACCCATGGGCTTTGGTCACCTGTCCCCATCGAACCTAGTTTAAAGCCTAAAGCTTTCATATTATTGTGGGTGTTACTGTAATAACTGCAGAGGGTTTAGATGGTAACCTGGAGCAAGGGAGTTGGTAGGGGGGGGGGGGGAGAGAGGTTGGGGGG